TGTGCGATGTGTTTTGGGCACGACCGGAGGTGTTGGGGTGGGGGAGAAGAAAGTGAGAGAGAGTTCTCTTTTTTCTCTATTTGTTTTCCTTGAAATTGAAAAAACTAAAATACCCTTAAAATGGATGGAAAATTGAATGGTGTTAAAGTCAGATAACAAATTATGGATTTTGAAAAATTAAGGTGACATTTCTCTTAAATTTTTCTTTGATGTGACAAATTGAAACTAAGGTATAAGTTTCAGTTACATTTCTACAAAAATGGCGATATATATGACTAATCAAATGAAGCGAAGGCCATGGTCAACTAAACCAAGAAGGAAAACGTAAGAATTGATAGAAAACCATGCGGCCATTAATATCATTCAACTGAAAACATAACAACCACGCAATTACAGCCCATCTCTCTCCGTCTCTCTCTCTCTCTCTCTCTCTCTCTCTCTCATAAGTCATATGGAGGAAGGGAGCAAGCCAGCTAGCTAGGTTGGGTTTCTTTTTTTTTTAAGCAATGGGGCTTATAGTTTGGTTTGACTCTTTTTTTGTTTCGTTTCTTTGATGATTTTCTAGCGGTGTTCAGCCGATTGCTTTACAATACTCCACAAGGAAAGTGAGATAAATAATAATGGACATTAATGGATAATGGATGGTGGCCTAAAGTTGACTTCTCTATACTGCATGCATGTTCCATTATTCTCTTGTTGATATATAGGTACACTTCACATGCATTCAACAATGCATTTAAAACGCTAAAAACCCGCAGAGTAAACTCATATTTTTTTGATGCGTTATTTAGATATTAGACATATAAGTTAACTACACTTCTCAACTTCTTTTTTCTTCCCAAACTAAACTAACATGGCACCCGTACATTAAATTTTACGACATAATTTGTTGCTCAATGCAATGATAAAAACCACCTCTTTATATTATTGAGTAATTTCGATTTAGAACCGAAATTAGGTAAATGGTTGAGTCCGATATAAGAAATATTAGTAAATTAAATGTGTATGATCCCTCTAGGTGTATCCCCATCTCATCGGTGTCTTAAGAAGAAACAAGTCTTCAATGGGGCTCTCGTATTGTGACGACGGCCTCTCACATGGTGGGTGAACCTAAAAACATTTCTAGATCCCACATAATTTATGTGAAAGCGGGCACAATAGGCAGAGTTAGCCTTCATATTGGGAACTAGATGATGGGTTTCTGATTCAAAAGGTTTTTGATGAGCTTTACAAGAGCTCATGCCAATTATGCCTCTAGAATTTAGTATTGGAACATGTTTAATATTGGCTCTTGTTAATTAATTATCTGGAATTTGGATAATCTATGTGCCTAATCCCTATTTACTCATCAAGCGACACAATAAGAGGGGATGTTCCCTGGGAAAAGCCTTCTTTTCCACCTTTTCTGTTGACTTGCACCAGAAAGTCCAGCAAATTTAAGGGCAGGGAGATCAAAAAAGCTTTTAAGTACCCCACACAAAGGAGATAGCCCCAGTAATATTCTTTGCTTAATGGCACATTGCTCTGTCCAACAACCATAATTAAAATTCATTCTCCATCTCTTTCTTCAAGGGAATCAATATGGAAGTGTTTGTGGCCTCAAAAGGAGTAAAAAGCTCTACTGTCCTGGGTCCATGTTCTCTTGTGGGAACAACTTTTGCATGTGAAAGATAGTGCCATCTTTCTTTCTTTCGTTTTTTTCTTCAATAAGGGACCCCTACAATGTCAAATGTGAAGTGCCCTACTAGGGCAGAGTGTGATGGCTTGTCGTTTTAAAATGCATAGATGTGTGATGGCTTGGTGGGTTTTGTTCAAATGTTCAATCTGAGTTAGGTGAGGTGCCTGATTAAGCTGCGTTTCTTCAATAGTCATTTTATGTGCCTTTTCAAAGTTCTTTCAATCTACCATTGAGTGGGAGGAGACCTTCAAAATGTTTGAAGTCCTCAGCTACAATGGAGCCACCGTCATGCATGAACTAGGCAACTAAGGTAGCAAAAATGTATTTGCTATTGTGCTAGTTGTCAAAATTAATTGCTGATTTAATATCCAAAATGAATTGCTGAAGTAGTGAAAGGTATTGAAATAGAGGGAAGGAGTTCAAGGAAGTCAAAGCTTTCATATCTCGGTTGCACTGTTTATTTTTATTTGTCTTTCTCTTCAAGTGATCACGTGAAGAAAGATATAAAATGAGAAAAAAAACGCAGCTGTGAATGACAAGTTGTTGGCCGTTAAATAAAAGTGATTATATAGGTACAATTCCATGTTAGGGTAAGGACCTAACCGAAAGGACTCGAAAATAAGCGTGAGTGCTTATAGGTGTGTGAGTAAAACTTTGACTGCCTAAAAGTTTAGCCAAAAAGAGGTTTTATTACCTACTCCAACTAATTGGTTCTGTGTACACTGAAAAAAAGATTATATAATGCCAAAAATTCCTAGCGAACAAAAGAATTTATTTTGAGACTACAAAAAAAAAAAAAAAAAAAATCCCTCTTTATTATGTAAGTATGAGCTCCTATATTCATGCCAATAGCAATTTGACATGTGTGTAGAAGTTTTTATTTTTATGTTTTTGATGAATTATTATTGCATATGTGTCAAACTATGATTCGCAGTGAGGAAGAGTATCTCCTTACAGAGAAGAGAAGAAGGCAAACAGTATCCAAAAAAGGAAGGGTTTTCTTGGCCGGAAAGGCTAGAATGAGGAGCTAATTTGAGGAGGTTATTTGAGGAGGTGAAATCTCACCATCAATAACAAAAAACAAAGTACATGGGGGGGGTGCATTGGGGGGTCCACACCCCTTTTGATGGTGAGATGGGCCTCCTCACATAACCTCCTCAAATTAGCTCCTCATTATAGAAGCTCCCTTTCTTGGCAATGATACACTGGGCCTTGAATTTGAGATCGGTTGGTCACTGTGGTTAGGGCTACTATGCATATAGCGCTGTCCAAATTTATGATGTGGGCTGATGAGGTCCCTTTTGTGTTGTTGCCCAACAAAAGTATAATTATATTATCTAAATCTAAAAATAAACATACCAAATATTTAGCAAGAGTTAATTCCTCTCTATTTTATCTAGTCTTTTGAATTTAATCCACATTGATGTAGATTACTTTATTAAAAAATATTTAAAATATCATAATTGTTTTGTCAATAGGAACCCTTAATAGGCCTCGAAACCCTTCCTTATTCCACAAGGTTTTGGGCCTCAAGGTACGACTTAATTTAAATTTTTACCAAACCTGATATAACTTAGTATCTAGTGCACCGATCCAAATAGGAAAACATAACACAATTTTCTTGAAGATAGTTGCTTTTGAGCAAGAATTGAAGACTCTTTTGCCTAAAGAAGTTGAAGAGGCTAGATTTATTTTTCATAATGGTTATGCATCCATTCCAAACAGGATCAAGAGCTGCAGGTCCTTTCCATTGTATAAGTTTTGTGAGGGAAGAGCTGGGAACTGAGTTTCTAACAGGAGAGAGAACATCGGGCCACCAAGACAAAGAAAGTGTTTTCGGCAATTTGCGACGGTAAGGTCACCGATCCACTCCTGCATTGTCTTGAGGAATGGGATGGCAGTCCTCTTCCAATATGTTAAGAATCCCCGCCCTTTTAGAATGTTCAGACATCTTTTTGTCTCTTTTAAGATGAATAAATAAGTGCTCAGTTAGTATTTGTTGTTTCTTTTGCAATGTGTTCTTGGAGCACCATATAGGAAATGTTACCGGCCCTCTCATTTCGCAATTTTATTTCACAATTTCAGGGTTTTTAAGTACCCATTGCGCCAACGGGATCTAACCCAGTGGAGAAGAATATTGACTTACAGACAAGAAGTCTCAGGTTCGAATCCCCACGGCATCAGTTACGTGTGCGTGTTAAATCTCCCCCCCCCCCAAACTCTCCTCTAGTTTAGACTATCGCTTGTACTTAAAAAACAAGTACACATGGCAATTTCATTCACCGGCAAATCTTTATAGCTAGAAAAGTGCTAAATGCGGCTTACAATTATATCAGAAAATTAGCAAGGAGTTGTTTCTTGACATTTACCATGCATCAAGGAAGACAACGCACAACCAAAAATGACTTTTTTTTCCCCTTTAGTTCATATATTTTTCTTTTCTTTTTGTGCTTTTGAACGCAAATCATTCTGGAAATTGCATGCTGTGATAGTTACAAGGGCAACGTCCACGTCGTGGCAAAACATACGAGTATGAACAAAAGAATTTGAATTTACATTACAATAGTTAGAACATAAGACATCTAATAATATACACCTAGAAAGTCCTAACAGCAAGGAGAGCATTACAACTGCTGCTTCTCCCTAGGCCATGTCACAACCCCACTCCATAACTCAGAGCAGCAATGACACATTGTAAAACGATGTTAAAAAAATTGCGAACCCAAATCTTGTAACTGGTTAGTCATCATCCGATAAACAAACTATGTCAGTGGATCCACCTGTATGTACTGGGTTTACACATGCACCACTCGTATTGGGGGGTTCAGAAAGGCTCGACTGGTGGTTTGAGACCAAATTTGGTTGTGAGGGCAAACTACCTGGTGGATTTGCACCAGCCCGACTGTTCATATTCATAAGCAACCCCAACGCAGATAAACTACGAAGAGCTGCCAAATCTCCTCCTGCACTTTCAGGATGGTGGGCCCTATTATGAGGAACAGATTGCTGTGTGGGGGATGGTAGTCGTGGAATATGAGTAAAAGAAGGAGATGTTGCAAGGAGGTTGCTATGTAACTGCTGGTTTGACATGGATGTTGAAGGTCTAAAAGGTTGAAGATGTGGGGCTGGAGCACGAATCTCACCTGCACCTTGGGGGATTCCTGGGGAAGAGATGGAACTGATGTGGGGGGGTCTTGTTGGAATGCTCGGCAAAAGAGCAGGTGCAAGAGGAACAGTCTGCATAGGTGGAGCTGTACAATTTGGATTGGATAAAGGTGCAGGAGCGGTTGTCTGCGGGCTGGGTAATGGTGCAATAGAAGTCTGCAGGCCAACTGCAGGAGGGCTGGCCAAAGATGAACTGGCAACGGGAGAATGTCTTTGTGCATCTTGCATAGATAGATGGACCAGCTGCTGGGAGAAACTGGAAATCCCATCTGCCAGGGAAATAAGAGGACCTTAAGAGCAATGACAAAAAAACAAAGAAAGAAATCAATGATGCATAAATGCACAAGTTGCAATAAGTGATATATAGGATACATAGTGTATTGATGAGCTGTGTGCCATGAGACACTATAAAATGCATGAGATCAAGACATGCAGACATGTTTTAAATTTACAACAATCTTATATTTATAATTGCCAATTAAATTTTAAGAAATGCCATGTCTCTCATTGCACTTTGAGACGGAAAAATATTACAAATGTAAGAGATGCACAGATAGGCAAGTCAAGATTGTGACATAATCTACAAGAAATAAGGGGCTTCGGCTCCCCGTTCACCCAAAAAAAATATTACCCAAATTAAAATAAAATCTAAAACAAATAGGCAAATTCAGTTTGACAGAGTTTAACCATAAGGCACAGTTCATGCTAAAGAAGGTGCTAATTTGAAGCCTTTAGAATCAAACTGCATTCAGAATTCAGATCACCTACACCTTACTTCAGATTCTATACCATCAAAATCAGATTCAAACAATAAAATCTACTCGGTTTGGTTCAAATCTTGAAACTAAATATATAAACAAGATGAATTTTCTCTCATCTCTCACCCCACGCCCACCTTTTCTTTTCTGTCTGTTCTCCCTTGTTGGAGAGTGGATTGCAAGTGTGAATTTTTCTATACAAAGGAAGAGGATCCTTTTTTATTAATCCTTCACCTTAATCCTCATTGATTGTTCAACTAACATGCCCTTTTCTTCTTTTGGTACTTTTCCCTATTTGAAGGACTTTAATGATGGAACTATCTTACATTCAGAGCCAAGCTATCCCTGGGTAAAAAATCTTCATGGACTATAGCTTTGCACTTCCTCCAAGCAGCTTACAGAATCTGAAGCTTTGAGATTTACATCTAAAATCTTTTTCAACCCCCTTAACTTTGAATGGTCGAAGCCAGGGTTGTTTATCAAAGAAGAACTTTGACAATATCCAAAAAGCCTGTGGGTACCCTATTGGTAGTCGCAAAAGATACAGTTTCTACTTATCCTCTTCTCCCCAATTTTCCTGTATATACCAAAGCCGACCGCCTACGCTCTATTACTTCAATTTTTTGAACACTTTGCTTGTACATATATTAATTGTTGAACATTTTGTTTCATTACTTCAAATCTTTACAATCTAATTAGATGAAACTAATATGTTATGTATTCTGCAAAACAAAATCCAAAGAAAAGCCCAATGATGATCCTTCTCATTGAATATGAATGAAAAAATAAAACTCAAAGTCGCAACTAAGAAGTGTCACACCTTGCTGTGCTCCAGATGCACCTGATGCCCTAAGATCCATGCATTTAGACCTGAAAGCCTCAGCCAAAATCTTATTCATCAAAACTTTGTTGTGAATTGAATCCAATTCCTTCTTTTTAAGGAGAAATTCCGCCTCAATCTCCTGAAATCTTATCTCATACTTTCGACGAATTTCAGCAACAGCCTCCTCTATCTCCTTCTCGCAATCAGTTTTCAGGCGCAGCTTCTGTTCAGGACAAAGATGACCTTAGTAGAATTTTTGCTTTTAAAAGTAAATACACTTAAAGATACTAAATTCAAAACTAACCGTATCTTCATGAGACTTAACGATATGATCTGTTTGTTTATTTAATCTTTCCAATTCATTTTGAAGCGGGTCATGGTATACAGGCAGAGGCGTTCGAGATGCTCCCTGTGATGCAGCATTTATAGGACGACTATTAAGTGCAGAAGTAACAGGTGTAGCTCTTGTGTCTGGAAACGGCAGTCCAAATCCACTAGGAGACCATGCCACAGACCGAGAAATGGTGTGATTTGAAAGATCAAGAAGGTTTTCAACAAGTGGCATTGGAGCATGAGCAACTTGGTTAAAGGTCCGGTTTTCAGGACTTGGCTGAATTTCAACTCCACCAGCTGAAGATAACTCAGGAGCACTATGATCAGGTGTATTAGAGGATGGTAACAGCGGCTGTTGTATTACAGGCTCAATGTCCGGCATTTCATGATTAGACAGATTGGATGAAACTACCGGAACAGATTCGGGTGAATGATTTTCAATTGGTTGGCAAGTATTCTGCTTTTCCCTGGCTTCTGCATCTCCTTCTTGTACTGCAATTGATGTTTCTAACAGAGTACCTTTGTCTTGTTGTGCCTGGACAGGTATGAATTTGTCAGCAAGAGAACGACTAAATCACTGTTCTCATTCTGATTTTATTTTCTTGTAGAATAAATTTATAACAATCTTGAATCCTAACATGAAGAAAGAATCAAGCCAAAACAATATCATAGAGTAGTGAACCACTTATACTATATGCTGTGGTGCACAGTAACAATACATAAAAATCTCTCAAATCTAACCTCGTCATAATTCTCAGGATAGTAAAAAATCAAAATAGTGCAGAAAAGGTCCTCAGACAAAGCAGTCATCTTCATAGAATGAGAATAATGATTAAAACAACGTCACTACTATATAGATTGACAATTTCCAACAATCAAATACCTGTTCTTGTGTCACTGAACCACCAGGAGCCAGGGCCACAGGCTGCAATCCAGGTGAATTTACCAGGGGCAATTCTTGATACGAGCTTCCATTGACTGCAGTATCAACTCCATTCTGCTGGTAGACCCCTTTTGCACTGTCAGATACCATAACACACCCTTCACTGTTCTCTTTTTCAGTGGCTTTTTCAGAGATTTTCTCATCAGATGAAGGTGGATTCACAGAGGCAAGATTCCCTGGTCCATCATCTGAACGAACAGTCTGCAGCACTGCCAAATCAACCTCTTTATCTGGCAAGGTTACTGTCACTACATGGACTTGCTCTTCAGATGAAGGTACGCACACAGGCACAACATTTTGGGAACCATGACTTGAACTGACAGTCTCATGTTCTGGGGAATTTTCATGGATATCTTCTCCAGATGAAGGTGGATGCACAGTGACAAGATTTGCTACGCCATCATTCGAACTGACAGTCTCAAGCACTCCCAGTTCGACCTCTTTATCTGGTGTGGTTACCTTCATTACATGGATTTCTTCTTCTGATGAAGGTGGACTCACAGAGACAACGTTATGCAAATCATGACTGGAACTGACAGTCTCAGGGGTTTGTTCTTCCTATGGTGGATCGACAGAGACAAGATTCTCTAGTTCATCATTGGGACTGACGGTCTCAAGCACTCCTAATTCGACCTCTTTATCTGGCATAGCTCCCTTCGCTACATGGATTTGTTCAGACGAAGGTGCCCTAACAGAAACAACATTTTGCAAACCACGAAGAGAACTGACAGTCTCATGCAATCCCACTGGAGCCTCTCTGTCAGGCACGCTTAATGTAGCCCCATCAGGATTCTGTTGCACAGAAGACAGATTCAAGGGATGGGAACCGTGTTGACCATCAGTTGAACAGAGAGTTTCGGGAACTTCCACTCTGACCTCCCCATCAGAAATGGGTAATGTGTCAGCATTGTGGTTCCATTCGTCAAACGAAGGAAGACCGGAGGTGACAACTTTCTGTGAATCAGAGCAGGCAACTTCTTGAACTTCAAGCAGAAAATCCCCATTGGCACAATCAGTAATTCCGGCTTTGGGACAAGGATTCACAGATGCAGTGTTCTCTTGATCATCACCAGAAGTTCTATTTAATGCACCATTTGCACCAAGTGGCCTAGCTGTGGTCATCTCTGTTCTAATGGGACCACTACATGTTTCAGCTTCATCTGGACCACTATCTGGAGTTTGAGACAGTGCTGTCACTCCTCCTGTCATACTATGCACAACACAACCAATATCATGATCTCTTAAAGTGGCAAAATCTTTGCAACCTTCACTAATTCTAAGACATTCACTTGTCCTTGAGCATTCCAACCAAGGCTCAGGTGTATTTGAAGGTGATCTATTTAACAATTCAACACGAGCCCAGGACTGCACTTCCTCTACCCATCGTTTCCCCATCTCCTTCAACTTATCCTGTGCTTCCTGCTGCGATGCCTCAAGACTCTTAAGACATAGGTTGGTCTGGTTTTTATTTTCTTCAATTTTCTTTTCCAACATCTTTAGCTTTTCTGTTCTCATTGATGTATTATTTAGGAAACAAGACCGAATAACAACTGATTCTGCTTCTAGATGCGCCTTTTCTTCCTGGCAAGTTCTCAAAACTTCACTTCTCTCTTTGATTTGCTTCTCATTAAGTTTTGTCATTTGCTTCTGGATCTTTTTCTGAATATCTTTAATACTTTTTGAGACATCTTTTTGTGCTAATTTTTCTTGCTTCAGTGACAAGTCTTTAACATCTGATTTGACCTGCTGAAAGTTAGAAGTTGTTGACCGTGAAACCTTTGGATGTGAATTCTTCAAAACATCTTTAGTTGATAATTTAGCTAACTTTGGAGATTCTGCAGCCTTAAAAATCCCTGTATGGTATAAAAATGTTTTTTTCAGGCACCGCAGCATTGAATAAACATAGTCAGCCTCTTCCTTTTTGCAATTGAAGTTAAGATGCTTCTTTGCAAGTTGAATAGATTCTTTGTGGTCGACTTTCTGCTTCAGAAATGAAGCTGCAGTCCAGCACTGGAATTTATAGATATCATCAAGTCAGTTAAAAAAAGAAGTTAAAGTAGCATTATAGTACATGCATATGCACCCAGAAAGAAGCATTGTAGATATCAGGAGGTGATGTACGCCTAAATTAAAGTGTCACTATTACATATTCAGTGGCAGTTTGTCAGAGTAAAAGGAAATGAACAAATCATCAAAAATCATTTCAGAACCAGAAAGAAATATGATTGTTGAAGGAATGTAAAATTAAAGAAAGCATGTATGCAAGAACTTCGCAATTCAACATGCCAATAACGAGTAGATTTTATTTCCTTCTTGACATGTGAAAAAGGTTAATGGACTAAAACATGAGTGAATAAAAGAGCAAGACGATTCTAACCAGAGATATCTGAAATGCCTGCAGTATTGTCACTGGTTCTCTATTAACATGGTGATTACTCATTACATATTGAAGAAACTTTTCGACCATGACCTTGACAGCATCCTGCATTAGAGGAAGTAGTAACATCAACCAAGATATCATTACAAGAGAGAACCGTGTTGTACTGAAACGTATTAATGGAATATCGAGTTAATAACAGCAGCACATATTTCGTTTACTGAGCTTGTTTTATTTGACATTTTTTGAGTTGTACTTTCTTGTTTTTACTGGTTTCTTTCCCAGATTGTGGATTCCTTATCCACTCTTTGTAATTAGCTTTCCTTCCTTAATAAAACTATGTTTATTTTCAAAAGAAAAAAATAAAGAGAGGCAGGGCATATGAACAAAAACAGAAAGCTAATGTTTTTAGCAGGAAAATCAAATTCATACAGAGACTTCTAGGATTCCACATAGTTTTAATATCTCTGGCTTCAAAAGTTGATGAAGACTCTTCTGGGCATCACGTAATTTTCTTCTCTCCTCAGACTCAAACATGCTACTTTCTGGATTTTCTAAGACATTTATATCCACAGACAATACTGCAAAAGAAAGATTATTTCAGAAACTAAAAGTGAGAATCCAGCAAATCTACAACACCCTGACATTGCACCAAGACAGAACTCCTTGGGGAATGCCATGAGTAAAATGAAATAATCCACAATATCAGCGAGCCATTTACCTTCCTTGCATCCAGGAACTGATTTCCCCTCTGATCCCGGCTTTGGATAGGGTGCATTGTCATTACCATTTACCACCTTCTTGCGCTTTTTTACAACTTCATCACTACCAACTTCTGGTTTCTTTGATAACTCATCAAGATGTTGTGCCCGTTTCCGGTTCCTCTGAGACAAACCAGAACAATATTTCCACGGAGGATGCTTTCCTACCAACAGTTTTGTCCAAAAATTAAGGGGCTGCCCTTCACCAGTATGTTGACTTTTCAGCTCATTAAGCAATGGAACCTCTGCACTGTAAGTTCCTCCATTTTGTTGAACTTTTGAAATGATAGAGAAATCGCATAAGACATTGTTGTTGCCATCCTGAGGAAGTACGGACAAGAACTCCCGGATGACATCATTCAGAAGTGATTCCTCAGGCAAGATATTTGCAGTGGAGGCTGTGGTGTTGCAGCAGTGGAACTCATCTAATTTATCAAATTGGTAAGGAGCCCCCCACAGAAGTATACTACTGCTTATATTCTGTATATTGCTATCATGAATCTTCCCCTGCTTTGCACGAACTAGAAGTTTCTCCTCCACGGTACACGTTGAATATAGACGAAATACTTTTATTTCCTCAAATTGTGAATCAAGTGATATTTTTTGCAGGGCTCTTATATCATTATGTGGATTCCAGTCACTACCAAATATGATTACAGTATCAACCGATGACAGTTTGATGCTGGGAAGACAGGCATGAGCCTCCAATAAGAACACAAATCTACCATTCTCCTTATTGTTGAACATGTTCATGGCAACATCTTTCTTAGAACGGAGAACACCAAACTCAATGCGTTCATAGGAATTTTCACCATACCCTTGACGCAGGAAATCATCCAAAATATCTCCAAGAGAATAAGAACTTCCTGAACCACTGATTGACTGGTAATAAAATGAAGGGACAAAAACAAAAAGGGTTAGATTAGAACAGCATCCAAAGGTGCAGATATTGGCAGGACTGCTGGCATGTGACAGAGTGAATACAAGTGATCGAATCCAAAAGCAGAAGCCATATATGTGATTATCACCAAGGATGAAAATATCGATATCTAAAGAAATATTGACAGTTAAATTTATGAAAATATTCAAGAATATTTATATCATTATCAGTGACTGCCACAGAAATTTGTGGTATTGGTTTTAAGTGAAACTTCAGAAAATATTACTTCAAACCATAATGCTTGTATGTATATTGTAATTATTCTTTTTTTAAAAATGTATAATGTAATTATCAAAGAGAAGGGGATACAATTACTATAACTAAAAACTTATAACATACATGAACAAAACATAATAGTATAAAATGATACGTTTTGCATAAAATATCCTCCCTGTAATATTTGGTACTAAGAGACTTATTTTTCTTGGTAACTTATCTGCAAAGTATTTTATTTTGTATTTATTTAGTGGGGTTGTATATATATTTTGCAATAGCCACAAATATTTTTATTTGGAATGTAGTGCGATTTTATGTGGAGTGTAGTACCTAAAAAATATGTGTCGTGTCATCTAAAATAACCCCAAACCAAAAGTTACCAAACTCGCAGTGGTTTTGTTTTGTAGGATAGATATGTAGTTAATTGATTGTATCAGATAGGATTATATGGAAACTCTGATAGTTTGTATCATGGACCCGCCATTGTCCACATTATCCCTAATATGTATAAATATGACAAAATTCTTTTTCCCTTACTCAGCCACCAAAAAGCATATCAAACAGAAATACTCTGAAATAGGGAGCTAATCCTCAATCAACAACTTATCTTATTCCACATGTATGGAAAGAACCTCCCAAACAAGTGAAGATCAAAACTTTTATATTCTATATATATAACAAAAGATACTAAAACAGCTGTTCTAATAAGAATTATCGTAACACTACCAAATCTTGTACCTGGAAAAGGATGAGTACTCTTAAACTTCGATTCTTTATCTCTTTAAGCATCATGTCAAGAAGCCGAAGCTTGCCACTTGCTTTGACTCCTACATCCAAATACTCAACTGCTTGAAGGTCTTTAGTAAGCAAGGTTTGCAAGGGTGGATGCACAGTGTAGGGATGATCACAGCACTGTCAACAAATACCATACAAGCAACTTACTTAAAATCCAAGAGGGTGGCCGAGCATGGGGGAAGAAAATATACAACCATTAGGAAGATCATTTCATTTCACTACCCATTGCATAAACACAAGGAAACAAATGCAAACAGTATCTTCCCTTCTTTCAAGTTATAAAAAACATAGAGGACAGAAAGCAAAAGGTTGAAAATACAATAATAACAATAAGAAAACAAATATCCAATTAACTTAATACAAGAGAAAGTTGAAAATAACAACTGAAAACATGTCATTGCAGATCTCTTCTAGTTCCAATATCTGTACGTGCTATACAAACAATTTGAAATGACTAAATACACGAAACTAAATTTCCACAAAGATCACTAAATTACTAGTAGTAACTTTTAAAGGTGTAAAGTGTTGACCACAATACCGAAGATAGAATCAACGTAAAAGGGATAACTTAATATTTACAACAAAGTCCATATCCAGGCCAACACAAATTGTCATGCAATAACATACTGAAGAAAACAACTGGATGATACAATGGTGTAATCAAACCAAATAAAAACTTTGACAACCTATGACAACATAGGATTCAAAAGTTACAGTAGATTATGAAAAGACACATAGATGTCATGTAATCGTTAACTGTCACACTGAGACAAAAGTGCAACCAACCAACCTTCCGGGCAGATAGAACTGTATCATGGAGTCCTCCAAGTGCTCCAACACGATCTTTTTTTGCTGATGAGAGAATCAACGTGGAGTTCGACAGTAGATTTTCGCAATATTGCTCTAGCTGGACGGTTGATATACGTACAGGAACCCAGTACTCAATAAACCTGGAAGAGTCAGGTTTGGGTTTACCAATAATATCTCCATATGCAATATACCTTGAGAACCTCTCTTTTAGTTTACCAATAATATCACCAGAACTGGTTAGCAAATGATCACCGTTTTGTGAATTGCCGTGAGAGTCAAGGACAGACAGCAAGCTAAGGTACTCAGCAGCACTACTCTCCTGCAATATTTAGCATTGCATAAGTCGACCAGTAGAAAAGATATCCCCAAA